AGGGTCATCTTTAGATTGAGTGGCCTGAGGAAGTCGCTGAGGAGGAAGAAAGCCATGTGAAAATCTGGGTAGGAACATTCTATGTAGAAGGAGCAGCTAATGTAAACATGGGAAACAACTTGGATTTTTTTTTTTTTACATAATTAAAAACTACTTATGGGAGTATGAAATATACATGGAAGTGCTCAGGGTACAGTTTAACATTTTACCTTGAAATAAAATAAAACAGAATTTTGCATAATGGTTACTCAGATTTCCTGAATTTTGATATTTTACTATTATTGTTTCTCTCTGTATGTATGTATTGTTTTTTTTTTCTGCAACCTTTGAATATAAATTCCAACATAATGCCATTTTACCCCTTAATATTTTGTGTATTTCTCCTAAGAAAGAAAGATACTCTCTTATGGAGATCTTACAGTGATAAAATCAGGAAATAACTATTGATGCAATTTACAGGCCTTACTGAAAAGTATCCAGTTATCCTGTAATGTTCTTTTTTTTTTTTTTTGAAGATTTTATTTATTTATTTGACAGAAACACAGCGAGAGAGGGAACACAAGCAGGGAGAGTGGGAGCGGGAGAAGCGGGCTTCCTGCTTCTCCCTCTCCCACTCACCCTGCTTGTGTTCCTGCTCTCACTAATTCTCTCTCTTTGTCAAGTAAATAAATAAATAAGGGGATCAAGTCCCCCTTCCAAGCGGGACTTGATCCCAGGTCCCTGGGATCATGGCCTGAGCCGAAGGCAGACGCCCAACGACTGAGCCACCCAGGCGCCCTGTCCTGTAGTGTTATGGCAGAAAAGTATTCTGGTCTAGGATCCAGTCCAGTATCACACATTGTATTTAGCTCTCATGTCTCTTTAGTGTCCTTCAATCTAAAATAGTTCATCAGTCTGAAATAAACTTGGTCTTTAATGGCCTTAATGCTTTTGAAGCATATGGACTCTCTTAAAGAATATCCTTTAATATCAGTCTGAGAAGCTTTCTCATGAATAGATTGATGTTATTTGGTGTTTTTAAATTTTATTTTAATGCCAGTATAGTTAACTTATTACTTATTTTTGACAGGGATACCACAAAGTGAGGATCACTGACCTCCATGCATCACATTAGAGGGCACATGATACAGGTTTATCCCATTACTAGTGATGTTAGTTTTGATTACTTATTTAAGAACAGTAGTTTCTGCCAAGTTTCTCCTCTGTGAAGTTACTACCCTGCACTTTGTAATTAATAAATACTTTTCCAGGGGAGTACTCTGAGACTATGTAACTATCCTTTTTTGTAATGTGTTAAGGGCCCCTGGATTCAGTAATGCTAAACCTCTGACTACCCCAGTTATATAAAACTAATATTGCCTATTTTGTATTAGCTAATTTGAATTGGGCTTTTCCTTCAACCATTTGGAAGAGCTCTGCCTGAAGTGGGGCTTAGGAGAAATTATCTTCCACTTGTGATTTTTTTTTTTTTTTAAAGATTTATTTATTAGAGAGCACAAGCAAAGGGTGGGGGAGGAGCAGACGGAGAGGGAGAAACAGACTGCCCGCTGAGCAGGGAGCCGCATGTGGGGCTCAGTCCCAGGACCCTGAGATCATAACCTGAGCCAAAGGCAGAAGCTTAACCAACTGAGCCACCCAGGCACCCCCTATTTGGGAATTTCTAAAATTATCACCACAGAGGAAGGGAAGGAAACATAAAATATCAGAGAAGGCTACAAAGCATAAGAGACAACTATAGGAAACAGGTTTCTGGAGGGGAGGTGGGTGGAGGGATGGGGTAACTGGGTGATGGGCATTAAGGAGGACATGAGCACTGGGTGTTATATGCGACTGATGAGTCACTGACCTCTACCTCTGAAATATATAATATACTACATGTTAATTAATTGATTTTAATAAATAAAATTAAAAAAATAAAAGTGTCACCACAAAAGGGGAAGCTTACTCAGTCCAAAAGGGGGTCAGTCTTCTCCTGGTTCTGGGTGGAAGGAGATGGAAATCAATCAGTCCCTGCCAAGCAGGATGCATGGCATCCAGGGTATGGCTTTTCAGTGTACTAACACCTTCAACTAGTGGCAGAGGTGGGTGAAGCGCCACAGGGGTTGGGCAACCAGCTCAGAGTATTTCCTAAATATCCTTTAAAAAAAAAAAAAATCAGACTTTTATTTACTAGTTTTAGAGTCTATTAATTCCTGCAACATTTACCATAATACATTTATTTATTTTTTTTTAATGATTTATTTATTGGGTTGCCTGGGTGCCTCAGTCAGTTAAGCATCTGACTCTTGATTTCGGCCCAGATCGTGGTCTCAGGGTCGTGGGATTGAGCACCATGTTGGGCTCTGTGCTCAGCACAGAGTGCTGGGAGCACGGGACAGGGAGCAGGCGGAGGGATAGGGAGGGAGAATTTAAAGGAGACTCCCTGCTGAGCACAGAGCTTGATCTGGGGCTCAATCTCATGACCCTAATGACGTGAGCTGAAATCAACAGTTGATTGCTCAAATGACTCAGCCACCCAGGTGCCCCTCTAACACATTTAGAATCAGAGTTATTTGTTAAGGACAAGCTAATAATTGGATATGAGGGTGGATTCTAAGCTTTATTCCTCGCTGAATCCCAGGGAGATTTTGCTATTGTCATTTAACTTGTTTATGCTGCTTTAGGGTTGGAAAGGCATATTGCTATCTGAGAATATACTCTAACCTAGGGACAGAAAGGCAGAACTTGCTTGACCCCCAAGTCTCTGAGCCAGGCAAGCCCCAGAGATGTCCTACTCTTGGTATAGGCTGAATAGTTCTCTGGTCATGGAGGCAGCTCATGAAGTCAGCATGGCAACTGTTTTTATGATGAACCAGTCATGAAAAGTTGGGAATTTTTGTCTATACAAAAAGCCTTAGAACTAGTCAGGACCTTAAAGATGTTTCATGTAATGACTCAGAGTGTGCAGTAATAAATTCAGGATCACACAGTTTCTGGCACATTTGTCTGTGGCAAAGCTCTCCATACAGTGTTGTGGGGATGACGGAGAGGGATTGCTTTCTGTCGTCTTAGATTAGGAACACTGTCCCTACTTGCTTCTATTTAGGTCACACATGTTGGGCCCTGGGTGGGTGGGGAATGTCTGCATTTAGGGTCTGACTCCACTAGAGGCGATTGCCTGTTTTCTGTGTTACGGCTTTTTCAAGGGAGATGAGCAACTTTTCTATTCAGACGCTCAGTACAGAAAACATAAATATTAAACAACTGAAAACTTGAGCAGTCATGCAACAAAGATGTGGTGCAGAGTTCCTAGAGAGACCCTGAGGGGAAAAGATAGCATGTATCATAATATTGGTTTATTCTTTATGATAATATTCTTTAGTCTTGTGTTTTTTTTAAATTTTATTTAATTTTTAAATTTTATTTTTTGAAGCCACTTTAGTCTTGTGTTTTTGTTTTTAAAATTAAAAGGCCCCAAGTCTTTATTATGAGCTATTAGGTAGAAATAGCTGTTTGTACCAGATAACAAGGTAGGGAAATTGTATATACACAGAAAACAATGTTACTGGTAGCGTTACTAGGCAGGTAAATAGGAAAGAACAGTTTTGTTATCTTGCAAAAATTTATGGGAATAATGGATTTGACTTTTTAAAATCTACCTATGATATTTGGCATGTTTGTGGTCAGTACTTGGGTCAGCAGCTTTTGATCTTTGGAGATATATATATATATATATATATATATATATATATATATGTAGTTGATACTTTTTCCAGGGTACTTGCAAGATTTCTTCAATTTTTGCCCTAGGCTACGTGTTTCTTGTATAAATTCCTTTTTCTCTTTCTAATGAACATCTTGCTTTCCAGCTCAGGTATTCCAGGTTTGTTTAATAATTTCTGAGCAGAAGCCCCCTTTAAAATCTTGCCACTGTTTTCTTAATATTTAACCACTGTAAGTGCCTATTGTCACTTGTATGATTTTGAAATGAATTTTCTTTTCTTACAAGGGGTATTTTTGAGTCCACCTCTCAAGGGCAGTTGTGTTGTTTCTCTTGCTTTTGTCATTGGTAACTTTAGAGCAAAAATAACTTCTTGAAATATAATTCATATACCATATAGTTCATATGAGTGAGCCACCCAGGTACCTCATATCTTTATTTTTTAATTTTTTATTTCTTTTTAAAGATTTTATTTATTTGACAGAAACACAGCGAGAGAGAGAACACAAGCAGGGGGAGTGGGAGAGGGAGAAGCAGGCTTCCTGTGGAGCAGGGAGCCCGATGCGGGGCTCTATCCCAGGACCCTGGGATCATGACCTGAGCCGAAGGCAGACGCTTAACGACTGAGCCACCCAGGCGCCCCAAGATTTAAAAAATTCTTAAAAAAAAAAATCATTACTAATTCAATGTCATGAAGCTATTGCTCTATATTTTCTGTAAGAGTTGTGTAGTTACAGCTCTTGGATTTAGGTCTTTATTTCACAGTTTGGGATGTTACGAAAAACTGGAGAGTCACTGAATAAAATGATCTCTCTCTCTGTCTCTTTTTTTTTAAAGATTTTATGTGGTTGAGGGAGAGTGTGCGTGCTCACGGGAGAGCTGGGGAGTGGGCTTGCGGGGTGAGAAGCAGAGGGAGAGAGATAACCTGACTCTGTGCTTAGCGCAGAGCCTGATGCAGGGCTTGATCCCAGAACCCTGAGATTATGACCTGAGCCGAAACCGGGAGTCGGGTACTTAACCGACTGGGCTACCCAGGCACCCCCAGAATAGTTAGTAATGTCAGCTGCATATCACAAGTACTATACAAGCAGAATTAAATCCTTTCTGTCCTTTAATACCAGTAACTGTGTATATATTTGTGTCAGTAGGGACTGGCAGATTGGGTACACTGGATAGGAATGTTGGTGCTGTTAGGAACAATGACAGTGGTGTTTGGGTGGGTGCATAAGAGAATGAAGTTGGTAGAATTATAATTGTGTAGCACATAAATACTATTTAACAGTACTGTTTTCTTTTCAAGGATTTGGACGTGGAAGAGGGAGAGGGACAGGAAGATTCTCAACCCAAGGCATGGGGTAAGTCTGAGCCATCCTATTTTTATAGTTACTACCCTTTCTAGTTATTACTGCCAATGTTTTTCTTCCTCTGTCCTGTACCCAATTTATTTATCCTGGTGAGTCTCATGTTAATTCTATATTAAAAAGAGGAAATAGTGAAAAAGTGAAATAGTACAAATAAAATTGTATTGCAGTGGGTTTTAGAGTAGAATTTCTATCCTTGGCTCTGTTGACATTTTAGATTTAATACTAGTTTGTTGAGGTGGTCAGGTATTCTTTACACTGTAGCATGTTTGGCAACATCCCTGGCTTCTCCCTACTAGATGTCAGTAGCACCCCTTCTCAAGTTGTAAAAATCAAAAAAGTCTTCAGATACTGCCAGATGTTCCTTGGGAGGGAGGTGCACAATCACCCCTAGTTGAAAACCACTGCCTAAGAGTTAAGTTGATAAATAACAGTAATTTTCTTTGAATGGTGAGTAAATGCAATGTTTATGTATGTAAAAGTGATAGTTCTTTTCCCCCATAGGTAGTATAATCTGTTGTTTATTCCATAATTTCTGGTTATTCTCTCACCTTTTGCTGCTTCTAATACATTAGCTTCCCCTGGAATTTTAGGAAAAGTTTTAAGCTTCTTGTAGAAGCCATCTGTAGATTACAGTCAAGAAAGGAGGGGAATTGGTTCCAGCAAAACCCTTTTGTCTCTTCCTAGCTCCAGGGCAGCACTGGGGGGCAGGGTCAAGGAGGTGTTTGCTGACTTCAGTGATACCTCTTGCCATTTCAGTTTCTTGCATGAGCTCATTGTGGATGAAGGAAGGATAATACATAGGGAGCAAACTGGCTGGAACACTTAAACATACTGTATGTGCCCAGCTCAGTAGCTTTAGACTATTTAGTAGATTTTGCGGTTTACTTTCAAAAATATTCTTTAATGATTTTTTTCTTTGTCAATGATAATCTCAATAAAGCTGGAAGAAATTTTAAATTCTGTTCTGAAAATTTTAGAGATAGTATTGATTTGGCTTTAGTTAGACTTCTGAATCATGGGTGTTTAGAATTTTAATGGAAAAAAAACCTGAATGAAACATTGTCTTTAGATCCACCATTTCTATACAAAAAGAATCTGGATTCTGACTTGGGAAGAAAAGACTGTGTGTTTAAGTCTGGCCTTAGTTTTTAGGGCTTTCCATTAGAGCCCTTATTCTTCCTAATACAATTATAGTTGTGCACATCTGCTTTAGGATGCAGAGGGCAGCAATTTAGGGAAATAAGGGAATCATACAAGAGTGTATGGAAGGTCCCTAGTAAATCACTGCTTTTTAGAAGATCTACATCCTGATGGCCAGAAGAATTAGCTATAATTAAATAGGAGAAGGAAGGTGAAGTTTCTTATAATGGCTTTTAGAAGGGACAGGGTTTTTTTGGGTTGGGGGGGAAGATGATGTATGGTTGATTTTGTGACTTTGGTAATTGTTGCCTTTGCCTTAAATTCTTTATTTTTTTCAAACCTAAGGACATTTAATCCTGCGGACTATTCAGATTCTCCATCTATAGATGGGTGTGTTACAAAGCCAGTAGTTTGGGAAGCTACTCAGAATGGTGCAGATGAGGGAACTGGTAAGTGTCTGTTGTCAAAGATGTGTTTTAAATGTTTGAGTCCTTAACATACAAAGGTGTGCCCATGGAGAAGAATGAAAAACAGGCCGCTGTCCTACCTCTGAGACTATTAGCTGGTTCTTACCTCCAAAGTCTTACTTAAAAATCTTATTGACCATAAGGTATTTGATGTTTTTCTTCTTCACTCTGAGGGAGAGCCTTTAATTAATCTGTGTAAGTCAGTACAAAATCACACTCAAATATCAGTGTATATATATCATTTCTTAGGGGAAGACTTGTTACTGGAAAGTACCGTTCCTGTTGGTGGACATAAATTTGGCCAGATAAAGTGGTGGGTGATAGGTAGGTTTGGGCACCAAGTGCTTTTGCAGATTTTTTCTGTATCCTAGTTTTGTTTTGGAAATTCATGGATAAATAGTTATTAATTGGTGTGTTTATTTAATAGAGATCCTAGATTTTTTTTCATGATAATATAGATATTAACTACTACATTTATATTTATAAAGACCTGTTTTGGGGTGCCTGGGTGGCTCAGATGGTTAAGCGTCTGCCTTCGGCTCAGGTCATGATCCCAGGGTCCTGGGGTCGAGTCCCGCATCGGGCTCCCTGCTAGGCGGGGAGCCTGCTTCTCCCTCTGCCTCTGCCTCTGCGAGGCCTCTGCCTCTGCGAGGCCTCTGCCTCTCTCTCTCTCTCTCTCTGACTTTCATGAATAAATAAATAAAACATTAAAAAAAATAAAGACCTGTTTTGACAATTCATGAATTCTAACTACAAATATAAAATTATAGTTCAATAAATAATCTAAAAGGAAACATCCATATAATATCTATCCTGGTCAAAAAACAGTACTGTGCCAGCACCACAGAAACACAATCAGTGAACTAGAAATCAAAGGATAATATAGAGAGGATCAACAAAAGTTATAAAAATGGTAATTTGAAAAGACTAGTAAAGTTGGTAAGGTTACTCGGAGACTGATCAAGTGAGGGAGAAGCAGCATATATAATTGGTTATAGGAATGAAAAAAAGGATATTGATATTAATTATAATTGTAATATGTATTCTATATAATTTATATTTTAATATAATTACAATTGTAATATCAGATATTAGAAGATTGTAAGATACTTCATGTCAATAAATTTTGTGCTAACATTTGAAATTACAGGTTAATCTCACTCTTCAACACAGATGTAAAAATCTTAAGCCAAATATTGGAAAACCATTCAGTAAGATAAAAAAGGATAATACATCATGGCCATTTTAAATGCATTTTTTTTTTTTTTTTTTTTAAGATTTTATTTGTTCATTTGAGACAGAGACATCCAGAGAGAGAGAGCGAGCATAAGCAGGCTCCCCGCCGAGCCAGGAGCCAGACGTGGGGCTCGCTGGGATCATGACCTGAGCCGAAGGCAGACGCTTAACCATCTGAGCCACCCAGGCGCCCCTAAATGTATTCTTGGTAGTCAAGTTTCTTTAACATTAAAAAACCAGTCACCGGGAGCCTGGGTGGCTCAGTCAGTTAAGCAGCTGCCTTCGGCTCAGGTCGTGATCCCAGGGTCCTGGGATCGAGTCCCACATCAGGCTCCCTGCTCTGCGGGGAGCCTTGCTTCTCCCTCTCCCACTCCCCCTGCTTGTGTTCCCTCTCTTGCTGTGTCTCTCTCTGTCAAATAAAGAAATAAAATCTTTAAAAATAAATAAATAAATAAAAAATAAAAAACCAGTCACCTCCCAGATACATACTCAGGGGAATGGAGGACCTAGCTTTATGTAGAACCTTGTGTACAGATGTTCATAGAAGCATAATTCATAGTAGCAAAACATGGAAACAAATCAGATGTCCCTCAGTGGGTGAATGGATGAGTAAAATGTGGTATATTATCCATACAATGGAATATTCATTCTATAAAAAGGAGTGAAGTGCTAATGCATGCTGTAACTGGATGAATCTTAAAAACATGCTGAGTGAAAGAAGCTAGTCATAAAGGACCACATACTTTATATTGTGTGATTTCATTTGTATGAAATACCCAGATCAGGCAGATACATAGAAGTAGACTATTGGTTGCATAGGGTTGGGAATGTTTGGGAAAAATGGGGAGTGACTACTAATGGGTTCAAGATTTCTTCTTGGGAGTGATGAAAATATTCTTGAATAGATAGTCATGATTGTTTTACAACTTGTGAATATACTAAACACTGCTCAGTTGTGTGTTTTAAAAGAGTGGATTTTATGCTGTACAAATTATATTTCAGTAACAAAAATAAGTACTATTCATACTTTGAGTAAAGCTGAAAATTCTTAGCATTTCAAACAAAACCCAACATCCATTTCTGCCTTTTTAATAAACTGGCAAATCTGGAATATAAGGAAATTTCCTTAATCAGGTAGGGGATATCTACAAAACTTACAGCAAGTGTTACGGTTAATTGTGATGTGTTGTATATTTTTTCTCTGGAACAAGATAAAGGAGTTTACTCTTACTCTTTCTATATGACAGTGTACTAGAGGTTGTAATCATTACAGTAAAGAATGAAAAAAGTCAGAAGGGTTAGAAAGACAATGTGGCAGTGATATAAAAATCTAGATAAAATATTAAAAATGAATAAGGGAGGGGCGCCTGGGTGGCTCAGTCGTTAAGCGTCTGCCTTCGGCTCAGGTCATGATCCCCGGGTCCTGGGATCGAGTCCCACATCGGGCTCCCTGCTCGGCAGGAAGCCCGCTTCTCCCTCTCCCACTCCCCCTGCTTGTGTTCCTGCTCTCGCTGTCTCTCTGTCAAATAAATAAAATCTTTAAAAAAAAAAAAAATGAATAAGGGAGTTTTAAAAGGTGCTAGGTAAGAGTTCAATAGAAAATATATTCTATAAACCATCAACAAAGAGAAAATGGAAAAAAATTAGGAGCCTCAAAAACATCAAATGCTTAGGAAGAAGTGTAATGAGCAAGATGGTAAGACTTCTACCTATGAAAATGTTAAATGTTATATTTAAAACATGGAATCAAGTTTCAAGAAATAAATGGAAAGATATACCATTTTTATATATTTTTATATATTTCAGCTCTCACTGTTGTGAAACTTAGTTTTTACTGACTCTCTCCTTGGACATTAATTCATGGTACTACACTTTGTGAAAATTTATCTTGCTAGTTTTTAAAAATGTCAGGTTTATTGAGATAAATTTTATAGGCAATAATATTTATCTTTTTTAAGGGTACAAGTAGGTGAAGTCAAACAAATGCATATACTTCTGTGACCACCCCTAAAATCAAGACTGTTTCTTTACTAGCAATGAACAATTGCAAATGAGAATTAAAAAGGAAAAAAAGTATTATTTACAGTATTATAAAAACATGAAATACTTAGAATGTGTGCAATATTTGTAGAAAATTATGCATCTTGATGAGAAATATCAAGACCCAACAAAGGGGAGAGATACTCAGTGTTTATGAACTGGATCATTCAGTATATTATTAAAAAGTTATTTTTTCTCAAATTGGTGTTTAGGTGCAGTACAAGTTGAATCAAAATCTAGCAGGGCGCCTGGGTGGCTCATTCGGTTGGGCATCTGCCTTAGGCTCAGTTGGGCATCTGGCTCTCTGCACATCGGGGAGTCAGCTTCTCTCTGCCCCCTCCCACTTGTGCATGCTCTCTTTTTCTCTCTCGAATAAATACTTAAAAAAAAAATCCTAGCAGATTATTGTTGTGTAAATTAACTTGATTTTGAAGTTTTTATAGAAGAGACGCCTGGGTGGCTCAGTTGGTTAAGCATCTGCCTTCAGGTCAGGGTATGATCCTAGGGTCCTGGGATGGAGTCCCACATTGGACTCCTTGCTCAGCGTGGAGCCTACTTGTCCCTCTGTCTGGTGCCCCCCCCTCCCCCCCGCTTATGCACGCACGCGCGCTTTCTCTCTCTGGCAAATAAATAAAATGTTTCTGTTTTGTTTTTTTAGGATTTTATTTATTTATTTGACACAGAGAGAGAGAGCGAGAGAAGGAACACAAGCAGGGGGAGCAGGAGAGGGAGAAGCAGGCTTCCTGCCGAGCAGGGAGCCCGACCCTGGGATTATGACCTGAGCCGAAGGCAGACACTTAACGACTGAGCCACCCAGGTGCCCCCCAAATTTATTTTTTTAAAAAACACTTTATTTAAGGGCAGCTGGGTGGCTCAGTTGTTAAGCGTCTGCCTTCGGCTCAGGTCATGGTCCCAGGGTCCTGGGATCCAGCCCTGCATCAGGCTCCCTGCTCGGCGGGAAGCCTGCTTCTCCCTCTCCCCCTGCTTGTGTTTCTTCTCTCGCTTTGTCTCTGTCAAATAAAATTTTAAAAATAAATAAATTTTTATAGACAAATACAGGAACTGGCATAGCCCAAAGAATTTTGAAAAAGAACAACAACGTTTAGATCATACGCCTTGATTTCAAAAGTTTGTTTCTTTCTTTCTTTGGGGGGGAGGGGAGAGGAGCAGAGGGAGAGAGAGAGATTCTTTTTTTTGGTGGGGGGAGGATCTTAAGTAGGCTCCTCACCCAGCATGGAGACCAACATGGGGCGTGAGCTCATGACCCTGAGATCATGACCTGAGCGGAAACCAAGAGTTGGACGCTCAACCAACTGAGCCACCCAGGCGCCCCTTAAAAAGTTAAAGCTACAATAATCTGCGGATTTGGCAAAAGCATTGAGACTGATCAATTATGTAATAGCAAATCTAGCAATAAACCCATAGATATATGGCTAATTAATTGACTTAGGACAACAGTTTCAAGGCACTTCAGTGGTATTTATTACACTGTCCTACACACAAAAAAAAATAAAATCAAGTAATAGTAATAGTTCTTTTTTTTAAATTTTTTTTTATTTTTTAAAGATTTTATTTATTTGACACAGAGAAAGCACAAGTAGGCAGAGAGGCAGGCAGAGAGAGAGGGAGAAGCAGGCTCTCCACTGAGCAGGGAGCCGGACGTGGGGCTCAGTCCCAGGACCCAGGGATCATGACCTGAGCCGAAGACAGCCGCTTAACCAACTGAGCAACCCAGGCGCCCCAAGTAGGTAATAGTTCTAAATGTGAAACCTGGTAGGCTAACTTCTAAAGAAAATACAGGGGCACATCTTAGGCCACCTTGGGTTAGGCAAGATTTCTTATATAGGACACAGTAAGCACGAGTTATAAAACAAAAACTTGGTTCTTTTTTTTTTTTTTTTTTTAAGATTTTATTTATTTATTTGACAGAGAGATAGAGAGCAGAGATAGGCAGAGCGGCAGGCAGAAGGAGAGGGAGAAGCAGGCTCTCCGCTGAGCAGGGAGCCCCATGCAGGGCTCGATCCCAGGACCCTGGGATCATGACCTGA